CAATTTAAACTTTAGTAGAGTTCAATTTAAACTTTAGTAGAGTTCAAATTAAAGTTTTGTAGAGCTCAGATTAAACTTTAGTAAAGTTCAGATTAAAGTTTAGTAGAGTTCAAATTAAAGTTTAGTAGAGCTCAAATTAAAGTTTAGTAGAGCTCAAACTTTACTGAGCTGGATTTGATTGTTTCTCAAAAGGCAGTGAAAAAAAAAATCAAACTAATAAAAAAAAACATTTTAAACAAATTTTGACTCAAAACAACTGAGAATAATAAATTTAGGATTACAACTAAATATTTGAATGTTTGGAACAAAACATTTACAAAATCGTAAACCTCCCAATAATTTTATCTTTTTTTGCTTCTCTCCTTTACCAACTAATCTTTTAGTCAACTTTAAATCTTTACAACTTGCTAAATCTGAGAAAATGATATTTTTACTGTGTTGCTTTTATTATTATTTTATTCTGATGTCACTAAAAAAACCTTTTATTTTTAATAAAAATATTTTTTTCCACGTCTTTAATTTCTTGTTTGCTTAAAAACAAACCTGCCAGTGAAAGTTATTTAAATACAGATTAATAAATAAACCAACCACTCTTTACTTCTTGATCCTCTGAAGCAGTTTTTTCTCGATGCGATGTCATTTATAGACGAGCTGCGACGGAACGATAAACGTTCAGCTCTTGGAAAGGACCGCTGCGCTCTGATGACAAACGCTCAGTAAAATGATTAAAAGATGATTTAAAGGACTGATCCAAAGTCTTCATCAGCCGTCAGGAAACTGAGCTGAGGATCAGGACTCTCCATGACAGCTGTTCTCACGTGCACGCTAGACCTGCTGAAAAGACGCTCTTTAACAGGATGTTGGTCCGGTTCGTTCGTGTGAAGACTTGGTTTACAGTTTGTCCAGAGGTTTGACTCCGTCGTGTTCATAAAAAAATTAAAGTAGGCGTTTGTAGTCTCTCATACGGAGGAACGACTACAGAGCTCCAGGTGGAGTGAGCGAACAGCTCTACATCCAACACCAGATTTATTTTAGTAACATCTGCTCTGCCTGCGGGTGAAGACCAGCACGGTGTCAAAGGCTCTTTTTCCTGACATTACTGAGCTCAAAACATTTTTAATTTTCTTCTTTCTGTTGTAATTTTATAAGGACTCTGAAATTATTCTGCAGAAAACTGGTTCGACTAACACCCCCCTCCCCCCCAAAAAGCATAATTCACGATTAGTCAACTAGATTTTAGCATTGTGCAATAATCTGATTGAAGTTAGTAGAAATGTAACGGTTCCTACAAGTGACGTTTAATGTTAAACATAAGCCGTTAATTTTTAGCTTTCGTCTTCTTTTGAGCTGAATCGTTCGCAGCTGATCATCAGAAACCTTTAAACCAGGGCGACTCATCGAAACTGCTCAGGGGGTCACAGTTACTGAAAACCATCAGTTAATGCCATTAATTCAATTTTACAGTTTAAAATCTAGTTTTATTGAAAAATGAACCCACTGATCGGCCGAGTGGAGCTCACCAGTGGGCCAGATCTGGCCCCCGGGCCGCCACTTGAACAGCCCTGGTTTAAACCATCTCATTCTCCGGAGTTCTTTCTACTTTCCACACATTTCACCTTTAAGTGTGTGGGAAATGAAAAACGCGTCGTCATTTTTCAGACGTGAAAACCCAAAACTGTCGCTGAGACAGTCACACGGTGCGGGGACAGAAACGGTCAGTTCAGGCTCTGTCCGTGAATCTGGACACGACGACGTCACGACACGACGACGTCACAACACGACGAGCGCCAAGACGAGACGACGTCACGTCACAACGATGTCACGACACGACGACGTCATGACACGACGAGCGCCAAGACAAGACGACGTCACGACACGATGACGTCACGTCACGACAACGTCACGACACGACGACGTCACGACA